TCCCCTTCTTGAAAATAGGGACCACATTGGCCCTTTTCCAGTCCTCCAGGACCTGGCCCGTGCACCACAAGTGCTCAAATATTCTTGCCAGTGGCCATACAACGACATCAGCCAGTGCCTTCAGTACCCTCGGATGGAGCTCATCCGGGCCTGCCGACTTAAACGCACCCAGTCCTTCCAAGTGACTCTGCAACATCTCAGAGTCAATGCTTGGTGGTCTGGTGCCCTGCTGTTGCCTCTCTAGGATCCCATTGTGAGACTTGTCTTGCCCCTCATTTAGGAACACTGAGGTAAAGAACTCACTGAGGAGTTCAGCCTTGCCCCCCCTGTCTGTCACCAATTGCTTTTGCCTGTTCAGTAGTGGTCCTATACCACCCTGGGCCTTCTTTTTACTCCCTATATATCTGAAAAACAATTTTTTATTATCCTTAACTTGGGATGCCATCCTCAGCTCCATGGTAGCTTTGGCCTTTCTAACTGCCTCCCTACAACTGCGAGCTGAGGAGGCATACTCCTCTTTAGTAATTTCTCCCTGTTTCCACTGTTTATACGTCCCATTCATCCATAGTCAGATGTATTTTCCATCACCTTCCATTATACTTCATCCACCTATTCCTGTATGAACGGAACGGTCAGAGCCTTTATAATTTTCTCAAGATATTTCCCATTTTAGTCTTTGAAGTCAGGCATTTCTAGACCATAATATAAAAGGGTTTTTTTGGTTACCTGAAGTAATTCAACTGCATATAAGTTGTTCTCAGCATCACAGGAAGTTCCTTCAGGAAAGCCAAGTGTAAAACTTTGACCAGGATCATTCCCTAGCCCAGGTTGACAAGACTCTGCCTTTGGAGATGTGATGAGAGCTTTTACCTCTCCCAGAGCTTCCCAAGTTTCTCTCATCTCTTTTTCGGTTCTGAAAGATTTACACAGGTAATCTGAAATCAGTTGACCATATAATCAGAGGATTTTAAAAAAAATCAGGTATCATCTAAGCTTTAACCATTCTGCACAGACGTGTTTATATAATGCAAAAATCTTATAAGCATAAAACCAAACTTCAAAGCTTTAACAAAATTAATCATTTATCATATCAAGGCAAGCATAAACGGTAACACCCACATGTAGTCTATACAGCATATATATTAGGCTTTTTTTTTTTTAATCTGCCACAGAATCAGGTTGCTGCCCCCCAAACATGCAATTGCTAGAGAAGCCAATTTCCTAAAACTAAGAATTATAACTTACATTCACCTCCCTAGATTTATACATGGATTTCAAATGCATGCTTTTGAAAATTTAGTCCAGAGTATTTAAGGCAGATACTTAGCATATACATAAAGCAGGTCTTCGTACCTCTCATCTTTGTGTCCTTGTTTGACAAGGTCTGTGCTTCTGGATGCAGAATCATCTGGACTGGAAGGACTATTCTCACCTGATCGGATCTTCTGATCTAGTTCCACCACCTCCTCCTCTTCTGCACTGTCACTTAGTGTTTCGTCCTCTAAAATTAAAAAAAAATTATGAGCCACTGCTATGCTGTAACTGCTTTCCAAGAAAATTAAAACCTACATAGTGAGAACCCTAACCAAAACTTCCAGTTTTATATTAATAGATAGGTTTAGATACAACACTACAGTATAGATGTATATAATTCATTAGCTGGATATCAAGCTTTTGAAAATTTGATGCTTCTTTGTAGACACAAATAGGGAGCTAAGCTTTCTATTTTAGTTCTAAGCATAAGATTTTCAGAAAAAGGAGCCCCTGAATCCATTAACCTATTTTTTTAGTTTTAGTTTTCAGAATTTGGTAATAAAAAGAACCTTACCACTTTCACCTTGCACCAATTGCTCCACAACTATTTCTGGACTCTGAGATTTCTGACAAGCATCCCCATTTGTTTCCAATATTCCAACATTTGGTTTAGGCCTTGGCAAAAGGCATCTTGTCAATCTTGTGTTACAAGCTTTAGGGACAGAATGATCACTAAAAGAAAACAAGACAAATGTTATAAGTAGACTTTAACACTTCATTATTGAATGTTAACATTCTGCATTCAAAGGTAATTAATACCCACAATGAGGTCCTTGGTTAGGGGCAGTTGGGAGTCAGGAGATCAAGAATAGGTGATGGAGTCAACAGAAGACAAGGAGGCCGGCAGGAACAAAAGCAAAAAGACTGGTTGATTTGAGGACCAAAAGGGGCATATTTACAACAGCCAGCATGCATCCCTGGTCACTGAAATCTTGAAAAATGTAATGTAGCATATTTTTTTAGAAATTAGTAAGAGTAGCCAAGTTGATCTTGATAGTCTGGGAATGTATTTTTTGAGGTGCAATTGACAGTTAAAATAACTCAGTGAAGTTACAGTACTGACAGGTTGTGTTTTGTTTTTTTGCTTTCTTCATCCTAGTTCCAGGAACTAGGCTTCTACCTGTGGTTCAGTGTCTTCAGAAAACAACCCAGGTAAAAAAAAAAAAAAAAAAAAATGGCCAGTCATGTTTGGAGAGTTTTAATTTTTTTTTTCCAGGCACAGCCCTAATTTGAAGTGAGTTTTCTGTAGTGGTTTTCTAATCCCATACAACTTCCCCGACCGTAACCCACAAAAATTCATATTTAAAAAGTTGGGAAGTGGGGGGAGGGAGATGGAGGCATACATGTGAAGTGAACTGTACAACCTATGAACTACTACAGCTAAAACAAGTATTATATGCCAACCTAAGAGCACCTAAGGGAAGCAACATCACAGTACAAATTACTCTAGAAAAGGACTGAAGTGGTAATTAAATCAACCTGCTGTGTCCAGCATTTTCATTGGCATATTCTTCTCCACCTATTCCTGTTCCAGTGCTCTGGTCCTCTAGAATGATTTTGTTTCCATCCTCCAGTGGAACCAGTTTGTTATTAGTAGCAGGTGAAGAAAGTGAATGCTCACTAAGAACTGCACTGTGCTCTGCATAAGGTTGATTTACAAAGCTACCAGCCACATCCAGCTCATCTTGCTCAGGCAACACTTGTGTCCGTCCTTGTTTAAAAATAAAGACAGACCTAGTTAAAAAGCAGGCTGCACACAAACCCATTCACAGGCAGATCATCTTCAGATATTTTTCATTATAACCCACATTCCACAAGGATTCAGTATCTCACATATTACATTGGTTAGCTAGGGTGCAAGTAATAACTCCCCCAAATGAGCAGAGATGTTAACAGCCTAATTCTGGGTTAATAAGAATGATTCGGCAGCATAGCCAACTTGGGTGGTAAACAATTCTTCTCATTAAAGGTAGAAAAGATGAAGCAGAACATTAGCACTTACTGACTATATTAGCTGAGCTTTTCTCCATTTGCCTGACTCATGAGATACTAGTATCCATAAAACCCACCCAAGACAAAAAAAGCAATTAACACCCCCTCCCCACCCCCAAACTCAGAAAATGTCTAGGGATATGGAAAACAAAATCAACTTGGAGCAGTTTCAAAAGGGAATGGGGAGATGATGTGTACTGCTGTAGTCTTGTGCAAGCAAGTTAAGTCACTCCAACTTTAACTCCAGACGAAGCAAGTTTAAAGTGGGAGCAGTTCTACCACATCTTTATTTCTTGCACATATAGTGGGCTGCTGGAAGACATTCTTTTACGTTCATCACACATGCATGGCAGGATGTGTGATTTTGGGATTGGGGATCAGATCCCAGCCATGCCCTACTTGCCAGTGCAGGGGGGAGCCTGGAATCATGATCCTGGGCTTCCCCTACACCAGCAAGTTGAAAGTGAGGTGCTTGACAATAAGCTGATTGTCAGCCATCCTTGCAGACTGCACTATGGCCAGCTGGAGGCCTAATATGGACCCAATTTAGCCAATGATCATCTGATCATCAGCCAGCAGGAACCACACCAAGGCACGTTCAAGTCCCGGAGCCAGATGATTGTCAGTTCTGGGAACCACTCTGGAGCTGATTAGAACCCCAGTATGGTTCTAGATCCAGCCAACAATCAACAGGCAGGGAGAACACTGGGACTGGTTGGAGACTCTGGCATGGTCCTAACCCTGCCACAACTTCAATTTACAGGGCAGTAGAAACCAGCCATAAACATTTTACACATTTTTGTGTAATATTTTTGTGACTGATATCCCTATTAGTGATGCCATAACTTTCTTGGATACATGGCCAGATTACTATAAGATGCGATAAATAGACTAATCACTTGTTGGCTAGGGACCGAAGTTACACATAAACTCGTTTAAATGATCAGAAAGTGGTTTAAACCTGTAACAGAACATAAGTTCAGTGTACATCAACCAGTTTCAAAATGGCCCAAACTGGCTTAAGATATACCTGGTTGAATGCAATATCAGACCTAAGTGATTTGGGTCAAACGGTTAATGGAACTTCTGTCCCAAATCCCTTTCTGGTTTAAGTTAAACCAGTCCCACAGCATGCTCTGCATCCCTGGGTGGGGTTGTGCTCTCAGCTCTAGAGAGCAGGGCTGGCCCCCCCGCTCTGCTCTCTAGCCTGAGCCCCAGCTGAGGCAGCCGTATGGTAGGACCAGCCCAGGCTGGGCTGCAGGGGTAGAGCCCTTTCCAGCAGGTGCAGCACAGTGACAGGGAATCTGAGCCCTTCAGTGGCAGCAGCCTAGCCCAGCGTGCACAGGCAGCGGCTGGTCAAGCAGCAGGCTACCTGGGCTGGCTTGGAGGTGCCAGCAGGCCTGGAGCCCAGCAGCCACCCACTGCAGGGGCTTGCTGCAGACACCCAAGCCTCCACAGCACCTCCAAGCTGGCATGGGTAGCCCACTGCCTGGCCAGCCACCACCCATGCACACTGGGCCAGGCTGCTGTCACTGACAGGGCTCAGCTTACCCATCACTGAGCCGCAGCTGCTGGGAAGGGCCGCACCCCTGCGGCCAGGTCCAGGCTGGCCCTACCATACGGCTGCCTTGGCTGCCCCGGGCTATGGGAGTGGGCCCTCCTCAGCAGCTGTAGCTTAGGTGACAGCTGCTGCCAGCACCCAGGCTGGGCCAGCCCAGGCAGAGCTGCACAGAGCCCCCGCTCCCCGTCCCATAGCAGTGGGGGAGGAAAGGGGAGGAGGAGAATCCCCCTCCAGGGCCCAGCAGCAGAGCTGTGCGCCAGGATTGTTCCCGGCTGTCAGGGAGCTGTTGTGGCTGGCAGAGCTCTCCCTCTCCTCCTTGGGGGTCTGGCCATCTGTCCATGCTCCTGTCTGGCCATGCTCCCTCTTCCCCTACCCTCTGAACCCTGCAGGCCAAGGTGGGGATTTAAAGCCTTCCTAGTCGCACAGACCTGCCAGGGCCTGGCCACACTCCCCACCCCCTCAGCTCAGCTTCCCTGCAGAAGGGAAGGTGGGGCACGCTCTAGTGCCCCGGGCTTCTGGTCTGAGCCACTGCAGGCACATGCCTGCATTTCCAGAATGAAAAGTGAATGTCTATCCACTTGCAAATTGGTTTGCTCTCTGCAGGTTAGACTAACCAGCAAAGATTGAATCAGTTCAGGCTCGGGTTTTCTGAATGTCTGTCCCTAGCTCTTAAGTGTAAGGTCTACCAGGGTCTGCAGTTACAGCACAACAGGTGCATAGTTCAGAGCAGCAGCTTCCCTACCCCTTTTGCAAACCATCCAACTGAACATTTGTGTATGCCTGAGGGTAATGTTTTTTCTGGGCCCCCTAATGCTGTGCCACAGGCAGCCTCTGCCTGTGGCATATGGCAGATCAGGGAAGGGACAGGCAGCAAGACAGAAGATCAGGCAGAAAGCAGAGCAGCAGATCAGCAGGGGATGGGCACTGGAGTGGCACAACTGTCAAAAGGGTTGGCCCCACTGATCTAATGCATCTTGTTCTCTTTCTAGGTGCAAGCTCTCTAGGGTAGAGACTAACTCAATATTCATGTCCTATTCAGCAAAATACATTGTTCTGCATGATCATGTTGCTCTGCAGGCAAAAAGGAAAGGAATATGTACTAATTTGATACTTATTGTAAATGAAGCTTCCATTAAAAGTTTCACCTCCCTTGAAGAGTGAATGGATGTACAGATTAATACACTATCTTTGCATTATTGCCTTTTTTTTTTTAAATATAAAACACAAAAATTAAAAAAAGGCCCTAAAACGAGCTATATGAAAACCGTGTCAAGGAAAACAAACATTTTATCCACTGAAAGATCAGCTAACACTACTGAACATTCTGCACCTCTTTTCCGAAAAGTTCAACAGCCAATACATGAAGCGCTAATGGCCGAAAAATTGAAAATTAAGTTGCTTATTCTCCCCTCCTTGGTCTTTGATCCAGTTACACATAGTTACATCAGTTCTAAATGTGAGTGGCCATGGAACTATCAATCAATTACTGACACTGGTTTTCCTTTTCTTTTTATTGTCAGCTCTGCTCCTTCGACAGAGAGGAACACATTGTGCCTGTGAAGCACTGTCAGCCTCAGCTAATTCAGGACATGAAATAAACACGTAAACAAGCTGCAGGAATACTGCAAAAAAACAAAACAAAAACAGATCAAGAAAACTGATCCATGTATTTTTAATAACTTGTTTTATGCATCTTGGTGGTGCAGGGTCCAAAGTTGGGGCAGACTATAACTCATACCCACACATAATCCAGCAAAATCCTCTCTTAGGAGGCAAAAGAAGAAGTGAGCAAGGAAAAGATGCTAACTGCCCACTACTTACTCAAGTGCCACCCTGCCTGTGTGACAGCTAGGGTAGATACTCATGTCACAGGGCACATCAGTACTCCTTTCAGAGTCACATGAGCCTCTGGGTAGCATAATGTAACGAACACTACTTAGGCTATCCTGGCTCCAATACATCCTGCTTCCTAGCACCATTAAGCACAAAGTAAGAATATTCTGATCTACTGCTCTGCAATAGGATACAGAAGGAAGGTCCAAAAATATTTCTACCCTACCTCCATCCAACTCTTAACCCATCAGTGAATCCATGAAGCTGAAATGAAGCTTCAACCCATAAACTGGAGCCTACCTTTAGCGCTTATTTTTAGCTGGAACATTGGATCTCCCATTGCAAGCAAAGTCATGGCAGCTTCTGTGCTTCCATCATTAGCCCCTGTGGAGTTGTTCACAAAAACTTAAGTCATAAGCAGTTACACTCCTAGATGTTAAACTCTTTTTTTTTTTTTTTGGATCACGGAAGTGTTACTCACTAATAAATCTAAATATCTTTTCAGGGCTCTAGATTTCTGCTAGGAACACTTAATGCACACTGCAATCTTCATTCATTAAACAGAGTACTCTAAGAACATTCAGAAAGTATTGTTTGTTCCCATTTGAAAGACAAGAGAGATGAATAGAAGCAACAATTTGCTCAAAGTCACACAGGCTATTTGCAGTAAAAAGTTTAGAATCCAGACCTCCAGTCCCTTAGCCTTTACCAATTCACTTTGTTAACACGGCACTTCCATCTGGCACAAAGCTATCCTTCTCTCACCGAAATAAGCCCACAGAGTTTAAATAGGATTTACCCAATTAACCAAAGGGTCATTAGTCATTGACTTCTTAAAGCAAAAATACTTCTTACAGTTAATTTCATGACATTTCTAAAATAGGCAAGGCAATTCTAAAAGCCAAAGGATCAACTGGACATAGGAAAGCATGCGCACTCTACTGGGCAAGAGGACAGAACGAATGAGCTCCCAGCACTTCCTAGCCACTAACATTTGGGGCATGTGAATGTTGTAGGCTCCCATAAAAGCTACTCTCCCTCTAGCATAGTTACCCACAACACGGGTAGATGTTGAAGGGGTTGACAGGACAACCACAATAGCCTTGTAACTCATGGTCTCTTGCGATGGACCATACTGAAGAAGGTGAAGTGTCATAGCTCCTCTAGAACACAGAGCCTACCACACCTCACTAGCTCAGGTTTTGTTGGTCCACAGGATGTGCAAGCTGCTTCTAAACTCAAAATTCCTTCAGGGAAAACACTACATTATGGATGTCAAAGCAGACAGTACTCATGAACACGTTTCTTCAATATTTACCTGTGTCTGTCTCCGGATTTTCATGTGTAGTCACTCCCTTGAAAAGGGGGAAAATATCAATTAAGACCAAAACCCCACATTAATCAAGTGAATCTGCAATTTGAACAATTCCCAAAGACTACTTTGTCATTTCAAAGATTTGCTTGAGCAACTCAACTTGATTTCAGGTTAAAGGCTTTACATATTAGTATTGAGGAAGTTGACTAAGCTACCTGACCTGCACAGTTAATACTCATGCTGTGCTCACCCATTATAATATAACATTACTGTCCTCCGTGATCACAGATATGAAAAATGCATGCAATTATCAAAAAAATAATACTTACCACAATTTGTAAGGCATTCAAATTTTCACTACTTTGTATCCCAGCTTGAACAGGTACATTTAAATCAGGAGACAGAGATTCAGCAGTTGTGACACATGGCACGTCTGGAACATTCACAGAAATTTCAAGCTGTAAAAATAGAAGTTATTTGTTTATTAGCTCAAAAGAGGGGGGAAAATACCACTAATTTTACATATTCACATGTACTTAGTGCTTTTTCAGTGTGAAGGACTTGTCCTGCCTACAATCCGTGCTATGTATGCAATATTAAACTACACGATTGGAAAAAGGAAAGAGTACTATGTGTTACAGAAAAATGCTGGAAATGCAACTGTTCAGGTTTCTGAACTGCTTCAAATTATGAGATTACATTTCCTTTTGTTTCTTTCTTAAACTTCAAGTGTATAAAAGTCAAGGAAGTGCTTTGTGCTATTCTATGGAAAAAACGTCCAAATTTCTAAGTCTGCCTGAGCACACACAATTTGGCAGATAAAATTATCTGAGGATTCTTTATCCTCCATCCCCTCACAGTGCCCATGTGCTAACCAGAGAGCACATAAACCATCCTCAAGGAATACAGACAGTCTCTCCTGTGCTCTAAATACTCCTGGGTGCCGGCACCAAGGGAGTAGAAGAAACAGCTTAATTTGAATGCAAAAGGGAAAAAAGCCAGACTTTAGGAAAGAAAGCTTAGACTGGAAAGAAGGTGAAGAGGAGAGAAGAAGGGAGATGAGGACTGATTTACCAAGACAAATAAGGCTCAGAGTATGAGAGAAGAGACAGACTGGGGTAAGAAGCTGGAAGAAAGGGGTGGGAGAGAAATAGAACAGAGAGTATAGACTCAAGAATGGGGACAGAAAGATCTAACCACTCCAAACCACTCGCTTCCCAAACCCACAACAGATTTTATTGGGTTACTGTTGGGTTACTTATTGGGTTACTGTTAGTTTGAGTAGCAGAGATATATATTTTGGATCCAAAGTTTCCAATTGTGCCGATACTCTATGAAGGTACTGGCCTGACTTCACGTGATAGAATTCTTTGATTTAAAAGTCTAGACACTATATTCTAGTAATTAAAAACAGCATGCTGATCATACACAAGACTCAAGTTAAGGTTCTACACGCAAACCTAACATTTCAGCTGTTCTAATTTGAGCCCGTGAGTGCACCATTTAGCAACTTAAACACTTTGGAACAGTCTGTGTGTAATATATACACATTACATTTATAAAAGAATGTATAAATATCAAGAAACAAGACTGCTATGATCAAAGGGAGAAAAAGGAACAGGTTTGAATCCCTGACACTTATACATAATAGTAATTGGTTTGCACCTGTTCTACCGTAGGCCTCAAGCCTGCAATGGGCTGCACAAGTTCAGATCTGTGACCAAACAGAGCGCCAATGAATAAAATGTGGTGCTCTTAAAGCTACAGAACTCACTGCAGGATTGGACCTGATGCAGTATGTTCCTTGGGCAGGGATTACCCGTGCATCTTGTCCCAAACCAAGAGGGTGCCTTCTGCTACTACACCTCTGTCAATTAAGCTCGCTGCACTAAGTGAAACAAGTGCAAAAGATGGCAGTAGGAGGAAACATTACACCCCAACAAATTAACATGTCACACCTCTACAGAACATTGATGTCATACCTCTTCCATGGTTTCCTCAATCTGGACAGGAACAGGTTTTGGAGATCGAAGACCTACAGGAACAAACACTGGAGCTTTATTTACTTCTTCCGGAGCAAAACACTCGTCTTCATCATCCAGTTCAAAGTCATCTGCCTCATCTTCATCCTCTTCCTGTGAAGCCCTGAGAGTCACCAAGGTTACCTTGGAACTCCTATGGTCTTTCCCAGATTTCCTGCTGCGAGCAGGTTTTGAGCCTCTGCCTCTGGTGACATTTGGTTTGAACTTCCGACACCATTTCCCCTTTTCAGAATGATCCGCCTCAAATTCAGGTGGAAATGAAGTAGCTGCTCTTAGCTCAGAGATTCGTTTCGGCAGGGCTATTTGTTTGGATGATCTTCTCCACTGCCTTCTAATACATATTAAAATTAATTAATTAATAATAAACAAAAACAACAACGACTTTTAGTACAGCAGCAGCCTAAACATGAAGAGAAATTAATGTTACAGGTCACAGCAAGTTCACTGGTAATGATTACCATCATGATAAAAGGGCAAGGCATATGTAATTAAATACTGACAGACGCTGGCATAAAGGTCCTTCCTTTAGTCAGAAATGCCCACTCATTTGCAAGCAAGCAAAGTACTAATTTGCATCATGGATAGTCAATTTATTTTCTTAACTTATAGCAGAAGTTTATTCTAAAACTGCTGTGGAGTAAAATTTAGAAGGAACTGGTAAGGAAAGAGTTATTTTATTTCGAGGGATCAAAAGTGTACATATACACTTCAACTTAGTAGAGATTCTTCTGATACTGACCTCACGTAAGTGTCTCTCCTAAGATGTCAGTGTGGATAGCAGATCATTTGTTTTTTGTCTCTGCTAATTGATATGAAATATAATTTACATTTCCCAAGGTGAAAATGTCAACCACGACAAACTAGTCAGGGAACTCACATGCATGTGTGCACATTCTACTAAAAAGAGAAACAGGAAGAGCAAGAAACTCAAATTCTGGGACCATAACAGATCTGATTAAACTCTCTAAACCTGCAGCCCATATTAAAAAACGTTTAGTTGCTTTACCTTGTCAGCTTGTCTGAAGTCTTCTCTTCAGCAGCAGAGGGTTGAGAATCATCTTGTTCTATTTGATTTTCACTCTCTGACAATCTCTCCAGGGACTGGAATTTTCTGAATGGCCTGCTTCTTTTATGGGGCAATTCCTCAGAAATATTTTCTCTTGAAACCTCTGAAGGTGACACTGCTTCCGCTAAATTAGCAGATCCATGCTAAGTAGACAGTAAGACAGTACGTTTTATTAAGATTTATGTTTGATAATATTTATAGGGCACTTAACAGATTGTCAGGGGTAAGGAAATGGAGGCGTGAGGGGAAAAAAGCAGTTTCTAAAGTTTAGGAGCATGTACAATACTGACATCTGCTTCTTTTCAGAGAATCCCCTGTTAATTGGGGTTGCAGTCAAGCCTCTGAAGTAGACATGCCACAGAAAGTCAAAGGGTGCTAATCGGTATTTTTTCTGTACAATGGCATAATGCTCAGTGCCTTAGTTCTGGACAACCAATGGTCAAATCTGTGCTGGTTCATAACTAGCTAGTATAATTACCATGAGTGGCAACAAACAGCCAGCTGGGAAGAGGAGGCCACTTCCATTTTCTGGAAAAGCAAAAACTACACTTTAATTAAGGGGGATGGGTAGGACGAAAGGTGTGAAAAGATGCATTTTTCATCTGCCCTGGAACAAACTGAAGAAACTACTAGAGCTATTTAAAGCGAGTTCCATGTTTGGTAAATACTATATCAGAACATTTCCCAGAACACAACAGCC